GAAAGCAATAGATTTCTTGCTTCTGCCACAAATTCCCCCAGCTGTGAGCCTTCCAACCTTCTAAATATTCCTTTATATGTGGTTCAGAGTTCTGGGACCAGCCCCTGAGCCTGCTTGGTCGGGTATTCTGTGTTGGTGTTGGTGGAGCTCCTTTACTGCACTTCCACCCGATCCGCCATCTTGTTTGTTCTCTGCATCACACTCTTAATGGAAACATAAGTGGCTCCCACTGTTCCAGGATAAAGTAAAAGCTTGTCAGTCAGCCACTCAAGGACTAACCAGCTTTCCTTACTGACTAAATTTTTCAGCTTTCTGACTCACAGCCTCCTTCCTTGCACCACACCATGAACCAAATGTGTGCATTTGTACCCCTGCACTGCCTGGCACAGAGCCTTGCCTGGGCTCTTCCCACAAGGCAACTTCCTCCTACCACACAACTACACAGACAGAAGTATTGTCTAACATTTTAAGGGCCAACTCAAACACCACCTGCAGCAGGCTGCCTAAGTCTCTCTGCTTTCATCCTCTCACTGTGCTCCTCCTGACTTATGCTTAGTGTTACTCCAAGAGAAGAGTGTCAGAGTCCCCTCTGTCCCAAGCTGCAGCCCTATACAAATCCGGGCCCTGCATACGTTTCTTCAGTAAACATATGAACACATTAATGTATGGGTCCTAATGGTAGAGACTGGAGTCCTACCCTAATATGAGTAGAACTGGGGTAGATTTCCCAGATATAGGCACAGCTAGGCCCACTGGGAATGACGAGACCAGAGTCTATGATTCCCAAAGCTGTCCTGACCATGGGATACTAATCATTCCAAACATCCTCATGCCCTTTTTGTTGCAGCAGCAGCTTCCATTGCACCAGGCCTCACTGGCTTTAGTGAGACATGCTGGGCCCTTGTTCTCCTCACTCCCAGGTGTCCTGCCATAACTGCCCCTCCTGCTGCTCACCTTCCTTCCAACTTTCTGAGAACTCAGTGAACACACAGTGAAAACAGACCTTGGGGGTACTTCCATTCTCTGCACCCCTCTTATCCCAGTGGCACCATCTGTATGGTGGAAAGCTGGACTTGGCCTCCCATCTGCAGTACTGTTCTCCTGATCCTTGGCTGCATGAGCGCTCAGTTCCCACCCAACCCTCTTCCTGCTTCTTCCATTGG